TTCTCATGTTGTGGGTAGAAAGTATGGTTTTGCAATTGATGCCAAATAAACTTATGTATGAAAATAATTCTATGTTTTCTTACAACACCTGAACATGAGTTTCCAAAATAGCGGCCAAAATAATGTGTGGCAATCAGACAGTAAGTCTATGATGATAAAATCAGTCTATGAGTCAAATAATTAATTATAGTTGTAAAAATGCCAAGGCCGGAACAAAGAGTGAGAGTTTTGTGACCAATTGTGACACAAGTCCCTGTCACAGGCCCCTGTGGGCATCTCAGAACCACAGTGATTCTTATTGCTCTGTAAGGATTTTAAGGATTACTCATTTTAAAAAAATATATATATTTTATTGATTTTTTTACAGAGAGATTTTAAGGATTACTCATTTTTTAAATATATATATATATTATTGATTTTTTACAGAGAGGAAGGGAGAGAGATATAGAGAGTTAGAAACATCAACGAGAGAGAAACACTGACCAGCTGCCTCCTGCACACCCCCCACCGGGGACGTGCCAGCAACCAAGGCACATGCCCTTGACTGGAATTGAACCTGGGACCCTCCATTCTGCAGACCGATGCTCTATCCACCGAGCCAAACCAGCTAGGGCAGGATTACTCATTTTTAAAACCATGACACGTAGTTCTTATTATTACCCACAGTGTCACGTGAAACCAGATGACCCCTCACACTGTTCTTGATATTATTTGCTTTGTTATTAACAGTCATTGTTCTTAAATTAGAGAAGTAAATATGAACTCTAGTCAAAAATTCCTTTAGTGGACTTTAACCAAATGTTTAAAATAAGCTCTTTAACCCCTTTACCTATTTGTTGAATCTGAAAATACCTGCAGACGAGCATATAATCACCCTTGAACACTAGGAGTCTTTCCTTTTCCACCTGCTGATTTTACTAGGATGAATTAAAATTTTGAACAATTGATGGTGAAACGTCAAGGCTAAAATGTCACAGAAATATCAAGTTCAGGAAAGTTGCATCTCCTGTTCTGAGGAGTTGAATGGTAGAGTCATCACTGTGTCTTTAAGGATGTGAATGTGATCTCATGCTGTAAGAGCTTCATGGCACAATCTTAACATTTCCTGTCACAGCCCTTGAGTCAACCCTCATGCCCACAGTGGGCATGAAAAGTAAAGCAAGTTTCCATTTCATTCTTGAATTCACACAGGTAAGTGGGCGGGTATGTGCTCAAACTCAAAGATGCATTATCACATTAATCCACTTATTTTAATCTCATTGCTCTGTTTTTTTCTTCTTATTTCTTTTTAAATTAAATAATTCTTCACCTAGTACCCTCCATTGCTTTGTAATAACTCAAAAAAAAAAGAGTACTGGAAAGAGTCAAGAGTTAGGCTACTACTTGGCCAATGACCATCCAAGACTTTTTATTTCATGCTCTCTCTTTGTAAAGTAAGAATCATAATATCTGGCCCAACTCCACAGATGGCCAGAATAAGAGCACTTGAAATGCTTTGGAAGAAAGGCATAAGAATACTGTGACTTTAACAAGCAAATGGTACAAAATTAGAAAATAAATACTGCAAGTAAATAGAAGAAATCAATAATCTTGGACAATGTTGTTTCTGACTACACTCTTTTCTCTTTGCTATCTACTCTCAACATATCTTGCAGTTCCATAGTGGCTGAAGTTTATGTGCATATTGCCAAATGCTATAATATTCTGTAGGATCCAATATTACAGGTAAACATTCAGGGATGTACTTCACTACTGAGAAACAGACTCATTTCTATATCTGCCTCCCCTCTCAGGCTATAAACTGATATTTCACGTGAACACAAAGCCTCATTTATTTTGGTCCAAATATCCAGATATGTGGGTGGATGCCTTCTGCCAAGGAATGTCATTAAAGTTCACATCTGCTGATTCCACAGCATGAAGCATCTGACCATTTGCCACTCTCAAAATAGTGTGAAGTACTTTTCCTACCTGTAAATAAATTGCTTCCACCCAAAAATATAGATTGAGCACCAACAACATAAAAAGCACTGTGCTGGGTACTGTGTAGAATATAAAGCTGAATAAGTCAGTTCTTGCTCTTGATAAGAACTTTATAGGCCCACATTCTTAGATACAGATCTTAGATTACATTCTTCTCCAAAATATGGACAGTGATTCTCTCTCCATCCTTAGGTGTTAGTGTTGTGGTTTGGCTAAACGAGTGAATTAATAGAAGAATGGGTATTCTAATGAAGACATTTTTTGTTATAGGATGTCAACCAACAAGAAATCATTTCCAGCCTCTTTAGTCTGATTCCATTTGCTTAAGGACAATAAAAGAATTGAAGAGTGAAAGAAGAAGGATCTATGATAGGACCAGGTTAGAGAACAAGGCGAACAGGAGTTGGAACTTGTAAAGCTGGGGTGGGGAATCTTTTTTCTGCCGAGGACCATTTGGATATTTTTAACATCATTCACGGGCCATACAAAATTATCAACTTAAAAATTAGCCTGCTATATTTGGTCAAATATTTAATTAACTCACCCCTAATGCCTTGGCAGGGCCAGACCGAATGATTGTGCAGGCCGGATGTTCCCCACCCCTGGTCTAAGGAATCAGTGAAAACAAATTTGCTGTAGAAGATTAAAGAAGAATACAGTTGATTCTAAAACATTAAGATAAAATTGACAATAGTAGCCTTTGTGGGGAGAAAAAAAGAAAATTTAGTGGAAATTGACTTAACCAAAGATTAGAAGGGGTCGGGGAGAATGTTTCCTTTGGCTTCCAGCAAGTGCCAAGCCAAAGCATGGAACCTTAAATGATGTTCCAAAGAATTGCTAAGCATGTTGTTTGGACAAAGAAGGATGAGAAAATCACCTGCCAGAGGTCCTTTGTCCACCTGCTGCCTTCATTACTGGCGGCAGTTCTCAAACTCTTTTATCTTGGGAACTTTATATAATCTTTAACATTAACAAGGGCCCCAAAGAGCTTTCACTTATGTGAATGCCATCTAACGGTATTTCTATTACATATTAAAATAGAGAATTTCAAAATATTATTTCAAATCAAGGCAACAACGAGTACTTACTTTTTGTTGCTTCTCTATAGACTCAAAGACAAGTTCAAGATTTCAACATAACCATTTATTTGAGGATAATGAGGTTATAGCTATCCTGACAGATAAGATCAAGGTGAGCTAATAAAATTACAGAAATACTGAGATGAAACATTTTATTAATCTTTATAAATATCTATTATTTATAAATATATACATATTGATCCTTACATCAACTACCATAGAAAATACTAGAAAACACAAGAACACACATGCAGGCATTCTATTAGTCAGCAGAGTGATGACATCATTACAGGTCAAATGGTCTCTGGAAATTTCCACTGTACATTCATAAGAGAATGAAAATGAACTGGAAGGAGTCACTGGGAGAAGTGCTGTTGGACACAAGTTTGTGGGGGAATGTTTTCCTTTTGTCATGATTCTAGGAGTGGGGAGGGAAGAAGAAATAAATTGCTTTTTTCTGTACTTTCATTCAGTGGAGGGAGGGAAGCATATATTGGACTACAGGAAGAAAAGCTAATAAATAGGTTGGAAGTAATATTCTACCAGCAGGAACTTGATAGACCCAGGTAAATGCTTTGGTATAGTGGCTCCTTTGAAGAGCAAAACCAAGATTTATTAAATGTCGTTCAAAGTGTTTATCTTAAAAACAATTACAAGTTTTTAATTATACTGCTAATTACCAAAATCAAGCAATGCAGTTTTTCTTTCTGCTCAATGAATATTAATGTTAGTAAAACTTGAAGTTTGGCATGCCAAACTTAAACTGGCATGTTTGTCAAAAAACGAACACGTGGTTTGAGGATAAACCAGATCTGAATACGTATTTGTAGATTTTTGCAAAATAAAATTAAGTTTAATTTTATCAATTAAGAAAATGAAAAAGGCAAATTGTCTTATTATCCTAATGGAAATGGTTTTGATCTCGGAGATTCCTTGAAAAGATCTTGGAGACGTCCCAGATCCGGCGAGTTTGAGAACCAATGCCACCGAATAACTTTAATGTCACTTCCCATTTCATATTATTACTAAAGTGACTTTTCTCTGATGCATATGTTGCTCTCTCCCAGATCACCCTTTTAGGAATGTTGAGTCAAGGTAACCACAAGACCCCCCGGCAGCCTAGTGGGACCCAAACCCGAAAACCTCCAGACGCCCCAAGGGCGCCCCGCTGAGCACTGAGAACCGACCCCGCCCCCGCTCCCCCCTGAAGTCGCAGAAAAAGCCGGGTCTAGAACCCAGATAAACCAGCCACCTGCGCGCTAGGGCGGGGCCAGAACCGGAGGCCAGAGGCCGGGCTCGCCGAGGGCTCAGGAGGGAGGTTCTTGCCCAAGAAACCGCAGCGCGAGCTCCGGGTGACGCCC